TCACTCAATCACTCAATCACTCACTCACTCACTCACTCACTCACTCACTCACTCACTCACTCTCAGTCTCAGCCGCCAGACGTTCCCCGTCAGGGAGGCGGCTTTATGAGGATGCACGAGGCGATCACTACCTCACATCATACGCTGTGCTATCCTAGCGGGCACCCGCCCGCCGCCCTCTGCACGTTGGACCTCTTCAGACCTTGGCTGGTTCTCTAACTGCCCGTATAACGGGCCGCGCCGCCGCAGACCTATTTCTGTAGTGGTCTGACGTCTCGGTGCCACCACCCCTGGTGACGCCACTCGACCTGCAACAGGGCGGCAACCGCATACACCCGTTCCGCAATACAGCTAATATGGATCGGCGCTCGGGGATGACTATTGAGGCGTTCAGTTAATCTGGCGAACATTGGTTACACGGACATAATACCGACTGATGGCAGCAGAGCAGGCGGTTAATTTGGCACTTGGTCACGCGGACATAATACCGAATGATGGCAGCAGAGCAGGCAGTTCATTTTCAGTTGTCTTGCATGTATTTCAATCAATCAGCTTCTCTTTTTGCATTCAGCGATCTCTCTGTAATCAGCTGATCGATAATCCGGTGTTTAATCGAGCCGTTTTTACGACGGCGATCGTTGGGATTGCACTTCGTCTTCTGAGGTTGCCATGCAGTAAAGGATGGCAGGGTAGTTGAACGTGGTCTGTGCTTCTTTTTCAGCACGCAGGCATAGGGAACTTTTTATTTGGTGTTGTTGGTGGTTACTCCCTGGTTGCTCCTCTTGGTATTACGTGAAGGGTAGGCTATTGTGTTGTGCGTTGCTACGTTGTTCGCTGTATAATCGAAGCTGTCATGAGTGTGACCGATGCGCATGTGACCGGCCAGGCGCAAGAGTGTACTGTCATTTTTTCTCTCCATTTATTAACAAAAGAGGCAGTGAACCATAGCTCCGCGTGGGAGCCATTGCAACGAAGACTTGTCAGCATCATTTTGCTGTCTTTTTAATATCTTATTCACACACCTGGCAATTTGCCGACCCTATCTGCTATATGCCGTCTACTGTGCTACCGTGCCGGCCCTGTTTGCTGTCCGTCGTGCTACCCTGTGTGCTATCCATTGTGCTACCGTTCAGGCCCCGTCTGCCGTCCGCCGACCTCCGTTCCGCGCTCGTATGACGTCTCTTGACCGGTGTTTCCGGCTCCACAGGAAGGAGTGCAGCGCCGATACCTCCCACCGCCAGTCCTGGGGCAGCGAGGTCAGCAAGGACGCCTTCTGGGAGGCGCTGCAGCCCAGCTACGCCTTCCTCATGGAGGACCAGCTGATCGAGTCCTGCAAGGTGACGCCTACTCGCTCGTGTGCGAGTCTCAAATGAGGCGTACCCACCCAAGCCGTGTCGGTTCTTCTCGTATCCCGCCAGCACCACGCCTGGTGGGCCCGATGATGTTGGGGGAGGGGTAATGGGCGGCAGAGCGCTTCCGGATGGCACCAATATACAGAGAACTCCCAAAAACAGCATCTGAGCTGGACCCACTCCATGTGTCTCATTATCACTAGGAGCGATCACCAGCGCCTACTCTCTGCATTGGCGTATGTACCAGCAACGGCCCTCGCTAGAAATCGTGGTCATTTTCAATCTGCCCGCGCTCTTGGCAAAGTCGATAGCTGGGAAGTACCGCACGGCGTGGCGTGAGTTCTGAGATGCTTGTATTTGTGTTCTCACCGGGCCTGCCGCACGTGGTCCGAAGTGGAGATGCAGTACGTCAGCTGCCCACAGCGTGGTGCGGATGTCGGCCCGACCGTCCCATGTGGGTCCGGGCCGGCGCCGGTGGAGGCGGCTGTCGGGGCGCAGGATGTGTCGGTGGAGGCGACTGTCGGGGCGCAATATGTGTCTGTGGAGGTGGCTGTCGGGGCGCACGAGGTGTCGGCTGGAGGCTGACGCGTTGTATGGACGAGTGGGCCGCTGGCGCCGCACACCACCCTCAATCGAAGCAGGGGGAGGGGAAGTCGCGAGGGACCGTTGTCGCCTCAGTAGCCGGCGGCCGTGTCGTGTGTGGGCTCTGGTGTGACCCGCCGTGTCGTGTGTGGGCCCTGGTGTGACCGGCTGTGTCGTGTGCGGGCCCTGGTGTGACCCGCCGTGCCGTGTGCGGGCCCTGGTGTGACCGGCTGTGCCGTGTGCGGGGCCTGGTGTGACCGGCTGTGCCGTGTGCGGACCCTGGTGTGACCCACCGTGTCGTGTGCGGGCCGTGGCGTGACCCACCGTGTCGTGTGCGGGCCCTGGTGTGACCCGCCGGCCGGTCTGCCGTGGCGCCGGCCGGGCCCGCCTCGGCCGGCTCACTATCGCGTCAGCCGGCCCTGATACCGCCGCACACGGCCGCCCTATCGGTGTCTGTGTAAACGGAAGGGGTCGGCGGCGGCGCGACAGGTGCACCCGCTGACGGCTGGGGCCCCAGGTCGGAGCGGTGCGCGACGACAGCAGTATCCCGCGGACGGAGGGGGGGGGGGGGGCATCGGCCCTGAAACCGGCGCGACAATGGCGCCGTAGACGGCGCCGCTTCATCAAAGGGTATCGCTCTCAGTTGAGTGCTGGCTTGAATCGCACTAACGTCGGCTTGTCCGTGGTGTGAGATGAGGCACAGGCGCGGATTGCAGGACTGGTGAGCTAGAGCTCTTTATCGTTTGGTGACGCTACGTCACTGTGCGTGTGCACCGGTACAATGGAGGATATGTTGCTATTAGTTGGTAGAGGTCAGCTGAAAACACCACCAGACCAAAATCTTGGCAAGGCCCATGCGGGACCCTAGCTTTCTCACGCAAGCACGACCGGTCTCCTTGCCACATGCTGATTGTCCGACGTTTGCACCCTGCCTGGACCGTGAGTTGAGTGTGTTGCCGAGTGGCTGGTCGCCGGCTCCGGCTGACCGACCACCGCCGCCGTACGCAGCCGTTCGTCTGATGACCGACACCTACCCATCATGGGGACCGCGGGCCACCGGCCTGGCTGTCTAGTATTGTTTACGTTTCTGCCAGTAATTGCGATTCATTCCACACACGACTCCCGTCTTAATGTTTTGTTTGCTCCTGACCGCGGGGCAACAGCCCCGCCATTGCCGGATTGGCAAGCCGTCGGACAGACGCCAGTGCCACCTGTTGAAGGGCTTACATACTGTTATGTGCTGTGCAGGTGGCGCCCGAGCGCGGTGTCGCCCTGTTCGCAGGATACCGTACATGCAGTGAATTGGATGTTCATCCTCCTGCCTCATCCTCGTTATGCTGGTTTGCCATCGATAGCCTTCGACTGTATTGCATTAACCTAAGTGGTAATAACGGGATGTGAGGCGATCCCATTCACGTGTATCCACGGGATGTAAAGTGATCCCTTAGCCCTTCTTCATTCGTGATCCCAAAATGGGATGCCCAACCATTAATATTTAGTGTTGTAGAGGATCTCGGCGATGTGCTTGTTCCGATGCCGAGGCCGCCTGATGTCGTGCCATGACACGAGCCAATGATGTGAGCGCCCTTATGCCACTGTCGCGTCTGCCGTCGCAGGAGGCTAATGGTGACCTGACCTGGGACGCCACGGACGTGCCCGGCATGGACTCCACCTGGTCCTTCGACGAGTTCATGGACCAGTACAACGAGCTGTACCAGTGGCTGAACGAGATTCAAGTGGTCATCTACAGCTCGCCGAAGAACATCACCGACCGGCGGCTTCGCGAGGTACGGCGCCCCGCCCGGACCGCGTGGTTGGAGCAGATACCTTCCAGCTGCCTCCTTTGCGTCAGCTGTTCGTGTAGGCGTATCCAAGGTGTTACGAAGTACTCAGATTTTATTGCTCAGCTGATTGCGGTGACTCGAAGGCTGCGTAATCCTTGCGCCCGGCGGCAGTATGGCGGTATGACATGACTGTGACATACAAGAAGTATGTGACAGGCGACTCCCAGCATACAAACCCGCAGAGGCAGCGAGCCCTCGCATGCTAGCATACTGGATGATCTGGCACTGGGTCCACTTCTGCGCATTGGCGCGGTCGCAGTCACTATAGGACATACAGACGGAGTCCGAACTGTGCTGGCCGCATGAGTAGTATACGCGGGATGTGAAGCGATCCGTTAGCCCCTCTTCATTCATGATCCTGAGTTGGGATGCCCAATAACTGGCATTTACCGAATGTGCTGCGCTGCATCACAAATGACCGCACCTGTGTGAGCTGGGGTGCTGCTTCACTCGGTCCCGGACAGAGGACAGAATACCTGTCCCCCTCCCTCCCCCCCCCTCTCTCTCTCTCTCTCTCTCTCGGAGGTAACGGATGCCCTCTATCGCTAGCAGTGTACTAGGTAACCCTGTCCAGACGTGTGATGGTTCCGTTCCCCTGTCACTGGTGTGCGGTTGTCCCTGTCCCTGTTTCTGTCCATGTTCTGTAATATTTTGGGTTTACATCAATGCTGATGTGCTTGATCCGGATTTGGGTTGTGACATCAAAAGCTGGATTTGTTCTATGAGCATGGTCTCATATGTCACTTTGACAAGTGCGGATGGCGACAATCGTTATTTCGCGATAGGACGTAGGCAAAGTGTGCTTGAAGAAAATTAACGGCGCCTACAATGGATGTGCGAGAAGTCTATCTGCAGAAGCAGTTGTGTTTCAGGACAAAACACAGCCCTCAGTTAGACACATTTGATATGCGTGGAAGGCAAAGGCTGGTTTGGGAGGGACGGCGGAACGTAGCCGAATCGTAACAAGAGAACGGAGCTGAGACAACGCAACGTCACGCTCAGATGGGGCTGAAAATCGTGCTGAAACTCAGCAATGTTGTTAGAGCGTAATCAGGAGAAGGGAGGTCTGCCCAGCGTAACCTGCCAGTGGCCAAGTGCTTAAACTGGCCAAAAATGTGTGACGCAGGTTATGGGACGGCCTGTCACTGCTTGGCAACAGGACCGCTTCGGGATTTTTCTGACGATTTGTCGACGAGCCCGCGTGTCGTGGCTCCAGATTTGATCTCCGATCACGGTTTGGTGCCGGCTGAGATCAGGCACGACTTCACACGCCCATCCCGACGAGAGCTGAGCCTCCAGCCGCGGCGCTCCCACATGGGGACAGGCCCGCTGAAGCATCCGTCTGCCATCACCCGCGGTCTCCGTGACACGGGCCGTGTAACCGCTCCCCTATCTTCCTAGACTCCCGTGGGGTAGGTCACCTAACCACTCCCTATCTACCGTAGTCTGTCGTGATTAAGTCATCTAAACGCTCCCCTATGCATCCAGTCTCCCGTGGAGTAGGTCATCTAACCGTTCCCCATCTCCACTGCAGTCTCTCATCGATTGGGTCATCTAATCGTTCCGTATCCTCTCCGCTGCAATCTCACGTCGATTGGGCCATCTGACCGCTCCCTATCTACCGTAGTCTGTCGTGATTAAGTCATCTAACCGCTCCCCTACTCATCCAGTCTTCCGCGGAGTAGGTCATCTAACCGTTCCCCATCTCCACTGCAGTCTCTCATCAATTGGGCCATCTAATCGTTCCCTATCTTCTCCACCGCAATCTCTCGTCGATTGGGTCATCTAACCGTTCCCTATCCATCGCAATCTCCCGTGGAGTAGGCCATCTAACCTCTCCCCACCTCCGCCGCAGTCTCACATGGAGGAGATTCAGCGCAAGTCGTACCGGCGCACGCTGCTGGCTGAGCAGAGTGTGCGACTGCAGCGGCGCCAGCCGGAACTGCGCGACGAGGTGGCCTGGCGGCTGGCGCACCTCTCCAACAAGTGGGACACACTGTTGCGCTGCGTGCGCCCGCCGTCGCCTTCGGAACACGCCAGCGACCCGGACATGGCCGGCATCGGTCCAGGTGAGCAGCGGCTACAGCCTCAGCGAGGACGGGCACTGGTCTGGACCAGATCAGGCGACGAGACCGATATCGGTCCAGGGGGGGGGGGGGGGGCGGGGTGGCGGCTGCGGGGTCCGCTGACTGCAGCGGTCACGGGGAGCTAGGCGGGCCGCGGCTCCGCCGCCGAGTCGGCGCTTTGAGCTGTGACCCCGCTCCTGCGGGCCTCGGGCTGCTTGTGGAGGGCTGGGCCGGTCCTCCGGGATGCTGCAGGCGGTGCCGGTCTTGGAGAGCAGGCACGGAGCAGCGCCGAGGTCGTCCCGGCGGCGCCAGGTGCTCTGGCGCTGGTGACATACCTGACGTGTCCGGCCGACGTCGTGGCCGTGACCTCGGCTGTGGTTTACCGAGGCGCTCCGGGATGAGTCGCGGACCCGCCGGGCGGGGTGCCGTGCGGTGACAAACAGAGCTGAATATGGTCCTGTCCGGTTAAGCGTCGGGTGATGATAAGCCTGGGCAAGTGATGGGGTATGGAGGAACCCGTGGACGGAATATTGCAGCTGGTAGGCAGCCCATGATGGTCCTCCGGGGAACATGATTCATTCTAGGCGAGCATTGCCTGTCCTAAGCGGTGGACAATGACAATGCCTGTGTGCTCCTATATTTTCTCGCACACGATTCATCATTTTTGTTTGTTCGAAGCCTTGGCCGGACCAGAGAATGTCCGATTGTCATAGCTGAATCTGCTCACTAAAATCCTTAAGGCCTGCAAGAATCAGTGCTCTCGACACAGAGCCGAATTCTGGCAGATTGCTGTTCCTGGTCCTGTTTTGTGGTGGCATTTTTAAGTCGACTTTAGTGCGCGCATCAGCCCAGAAGTGGGTCCGGCTCCAAGCCAGCTGTGTCGGAGACGTTTTCCACGACAAACCAACGGTGGGCGTCTCAGCCTATCTGCAGTGCTTTGGGGCATAGCTAAGATGTCGGTGTCAGCGAGTCATTGCTTGGAATTTGGCCGACTGGGATGCAAATTTTGATGCGTTCTCCTCCTTCTGTTGGTACCTTTGATATCGATAGGCTGTTACAGTTGATAGGTTGTCGGCGTCAGCGAGTGACTGCGCGGAATTTGGCTGACTGGGGTGCATATTTTAATGCGCTTTCCTCCTGTTGGTGCCTTTGATATCGATAGGCTGTTACAGTTGAGCCTTTGAACCTTTCCTTTCCCTTCTTTGTCTCATTTTGCAAGGTTGCCTCTTCGACTAGATTATGTCAATAAGTTTTGCTGCGGAGATGGTGCTCTTAGACTGGTCTGAGGCGGCACAGCTGGTCTGCGGTGATGCAGCTGGTCTGTGATGGTGCAGCTGATCTGAGATAGTACAGCTGGTCTGAGGTAGTACGGCTGGTCTGAGGTGGTGCAGCTGGTCTGTGATGATGCAGCTGGTCTGAGTTAGTACAGGTGGTCTGAGGAGGTGCAGCTGGTCTGTGGTGATGCAGCTGGTCTGAGGTAGTACAGCTGGTCTGAGGCTCTGCGGTTGGTCTGACGTGATGCAGCTGGTCTGAGGTGGCACAGCTGGTCTGAGGTGCTACAGTTGGTCTGAGGTGGTGCAGCTGGTCTGAAGTGGTGCAGCTGGCATGAGGTGATGTAGCTGGTCTGAGGTGCTGCAGCTGGTCTGAGGTAGTACAGCTGGTCTGAGGTGGTGCGGCTGGTCTGAGGTGGCGCAGCTGGCATGGGGTGTTACAGCTGGTCTGAGGTGCTGCAGGTAGTCTGAGATGGTGCAGCTGGTCTGACGTGGTGCAGCTGGTCTGAGGCACTGCGGTTGGCCTGTAGCGGTGCAGCGGTTGCTGTCTCGGTGCGGTGTTATCCGTCCCCGCTTATTGCCGTCCGCCGGCCCGGACCTGTGCCAGCCGGCGCGGTCTGGACCGGTGGAGGCCGCGTCTGATACTCGTCAGCCGTCAGAGGCAGCTGAGACGCTCGCCACGTAATCCCGTTACGTGAGCTCCCAACCGCGTCACGTGTCTCGGAAGACGTCGTCCCGGATATGCCTGCGGTTTGTAAGGGGGTGGGGGAGTCCAATAGCGCGAAACGAGCCCAATATCAAGGGCAGCGGCAGCCGAGCTGGCCCGGTCCGAGCTGGGCTCGGACAGAGGCCGCCGCCCGATGCCGCGACCACAATCTGGGGCGGGGTGCGACACTCCCTGTCCGTGAAAACAAAACGAGACCGGTCGCAGGTGATCGGGACCGGCCGACTTCTGGTGTCCGGGTTAGACAGGATCTCGAATGATTGCGGTTTGAAAAATGACGCCTCACAAAAATCGAAGCACAGCACGGCGATCCATGTCCGATTTGCTTGGAA